TTTTTTGTACCTTGCTTATTTTGTTTAACATACTGATCTTCAGTTCCATCCATGTTAAAATAAACAACATGCTTTTTTTATGACTTTTTCATATAATTATTCCCTGAACAATACAATATAGCAGATATTTACATACAATTTAAATTACATTAGGTATTATAAGTCATCTAGAGATTATGGGAGGATATGTGTACATTATATGCAAGTACTGTGCCATTTTATTTTTTGGTGGTGCTGGGGTTTGAACTCAGAGCCTCATGCTTGCTGGACAGGAACTCTACCACTGGAGCCACACCTCCAGCTTTAGTTATTTTCCACATAGGGTCTCACTTTTTTTTTTGTGTTGCTATACTGGGGTTTGAACTCAGAGCTCTGTACTTGCTAGGCAATCGCAATGGCTCTACTACTTGACCCATGCCCTCAGTCTAGAGTCTCACATTTTTTGCCCAGAGCGACCTCAGACAGCAATCCTACTGCCTACCACACTCCATGTAGCTGGGATTACAGGTGTGTGCCACCATATCTAGTTTATTAATTGAGATAGCAGTCTCACTAACTTTTTTGCCTGGGCAACAAGGGACCCTGAACCATGATCCTCCCAGTCTGCACATTCTGATTAGCTAGGATTACAGTTAATGCCATTTTATACAATGCTTGAACATTCAAGAATTTTTGAATCTGAGGGGGATCTGGAGCCCATCTGTCCACTGTGGATACTGATTGCTGACTGTACACCCAGTAGGGGCATTTCAGGATCAAGCACTTGCTTTCTGTCGAATTGCTACATCTCCTGGGCTTTGCCACCACCCTGCAATGTGGCCAGGCATGAAGATTCTTTTCCCTTTTTGGATGAGGGTATCAGGGTGCAGTGATCGGGGTCCAAGAACTAGAGGAGGCCACATTGTCATGCTCTGACTGGAGTCCTGGAGGCCACATCAGTTGCTCCATAGCTCGGAGCCTGGAACCAGCTGGAAGTGCCTGGCTCACTTTCTGGAGTTCAGTCCCTGGACTTGTGTAGATGGAGCTTGTACCTGGAAAAGCTCCTACCTAGCGAGGAGAGTGAGTTTACTAGTGGTGCCCTGGATTCCTGCTGTCCTGCCCCAATCTCTCCCAGCACTTTCTAGGCCTTCTTACTGCTGTAGGGGGCTCTTGCTAGCTGTCATCACCCTTCCTGACTGCCTGTCTCTCTGCCCTAGTTGCATTTGATAGCTGGCTACTTCCTCTTGAGCCAGGGATGCTGTGCCCACCTCACCCTCTGAATTGCTTACTGCAGCAATTCCATCCATGTCTGTATGTTACACCTGTGTCCTGGGCTCCATCCTCATCCCTATAAAAGCTGATGATCTGAGTATGATGATCTTTTTTAGACCCAGACAAAATCAGAGGCAGGAAGTTGTGAAGGGGGAGGCTGTTGCCTGTCTCAGACAGACATTTTCTCAAGGACTTTCTGAAGTCTCAAAAGAAACTCTTTCTGTGTCTGCACATGTTTTGCATACCTCACACTTATGTACAGATTTCTGCAACAAAGTTTATCTTCTACTTCTTAAAGATGCAGCATGGGCCGGAGGCATGGCTCAAGTGGAAGAGTGCCTGTCTAGCAAGCACAAAGCCCTGAGTTCAAACTCCAGTACCTCCAATTGGGTGGAAGAGGCTGAGCTATGGTGGGGGAGTCACATGGAGAGGAGTACAGAGAAGGAGGAGACCACCATGGTTGAAATGTGTGGAATGATTAATTTTGTGGTCTCCATGAGAAAACAATCATCATATGTGGACATTTCCTTCACCCCATGGCCTGTTTTCCTCATGGCTGTTGATCCTACCACATCCCTGCTGTCTTAGGCCATAAGAGCATGTGTTGAACTTCTCTGGTCCAGATGCCCTCTTTAACTTTGTCAAAGAGCTTGTGGTGGAACTCCCTCTCCCCTTAAAGGCAACCCAAGATGTTAGCACACCAAGCTGCAAAAGCCCCAGGCAGAGCTTCCCTGTGAGAACTAGTGTGTAATAGATCGGATTCCACATTTGCTCTTTCAAAGAAAATTGTTTCCCTCAACTCACTCCAACCTCTGCACACCAGATGGTGATTCACGGGATGGTGTCTTGTCAAAGGGCTCCAGCAAGGAATGTAGAAGCATCCTGAGTCCCATAGCTTCTTACTGGTGTGAGTGACACCTAGGTCTCCACAGGCAAGTGGCAGCCTCTGGGTGCTCTGCAGCTCCGTAGGGCAAATATTTTTTCTTTAAGAAATATGTTGCGGGACAGGTGTGATGGTACATGCTTATAATCCCAGCTACTTGGTAGGTGCTCTACTGCTTGAGCCACTCTGCCAACCCCTCCCCTTTTTTTGTTGTACTGGAGTTTGAACTCAGGGCCTTGCTCTTGCTAGGCAGGCACTCTTCCACTTAAGCCACACCTTCAGCCCAAGCCCAGCTACTAGGAAGGCAGAGGCAAAAGGATTGTAGTTTGAGGCCAGCATGGGCAAAGTTAGGGAGACCCTATCTCAAAAAAAATTAAAAACAAACAAATGAAAAGACTAGAGAATAGCTTAAGTGGTAGAGGGCTTGCCTAACAAGCTTGAGGCTCTGGGTTCAATCCCCAGTATTAAAGAAACCAAAACAACCCATTACAAATATCATATATATTGCCCATTGGTATATACAATTACTACATCTTTGTGTGTCAGTAAAACTAATAATTTAAATTTAAGAAAGAAATCTGTTGCTGGTAAATATGAAACAAAAGGGAGGGTCTATAGGTTCAGGGAGACAGGGAAGGCACAAAACCAGCCAGAAGGGCTGTTCTCTGTGTAGGTGTGAGTGAGGCAGGTGTAAGGATGGCCAGGAGCCACAGAGCAACTCCTAGAGTTAAAAGGATCCCACTTCTTCCAGGAAGACCTCTAGGCAGCTGGGCAACATGAATGTCCCCTCTGCTCTCCCGTGGTGTGGGGCATGAGCTAATGCTTGCCTCCTCCCATACACAGGTGTGCCCATACATATTCACACATGCTTGAAGCCACCCTTGCACACACATACATATACATGAACACACATGCATTAACACACATGTACATGCACAATGCATCTATGCATGCACTCACACACACATAGGTACACAGACATGCATACACATGCCTATGCACAACTCACATACATATGCAAACATGTGCAATGTCACATGCACACAAATGCACACACACACACACACACACACACACACACACACTTATGGACCAACTGGGGCTCTCCAGGGTCATGCTCCTGGGGGCGGTGTCTTCCAGTTCTTTTTTCGGTGATACTGGTACTGGGGTTTGAACTCAGGACCTTGCACTTGCTCAGCAGGTGCTCCCAGTCCCAATTCTTATGCAATGGATGTTTGCCTCTTCCAAACTTCATATGCTGAAATCATCTCCATTCAGGCCATGTTGTTAGGAGGCAGGCTTTGTGAAGGTGATGAGGTCACAAGAGTGGAACTTCATGAATGGGGTTAGTGTCCTTATAAAAAGGACCCAGAAAGCTCTATTGCCTTCTTTCTGCCACATGAATACAGAAGATATTGGAAATTGCAGCCTGAAAGATGGTCCTCACCACAGACTGGGGATGCTGGTGAGGTCATGGAGTCCTAGCACTGGCTCAGGGATAGGGTGAAGACTGGAGGTCCAGAGCAGCCTTCAGCCCACCTGCTAGTGGTCACCCTTCTCTCTACCCCACTCCAGCCTCAGGAGCTCTCTGCTCAGTTTTCCTCCAGCAGACAGAGCCATCTTCCCACGCCCAGCTCTGGCTGACCCCTTCTCTGGTTCCCATGGTACTGACAGCTGGGGGGACAGCTTAGCGGCACACTAGAGTATGAGCCACAGAGCACCCACCTCAGCATTCTGTCCTGGCTCTCCATGCTCCCAAATAAGGCCTGCAGGGAGAGCAATGTGCCCCCTTCAGGCCTGTGTGGCTGAGGGCTGGGGAAGGCCCCAGGACTCCCACCAGATAGCCCCTTCTGGCTCCTGGTGGGTTCCCTGCTGCCAGCTCATCTTCTCCTTAGGCAGGGTTTGCACACACAATGCTCACTCTACATTTGTCCCTGGATTTGGATGAGTGGGCAGCCTGCTGGGGCATGAAGCAGCCATGTGTTGACAGCATTCACCCTCTACCTTGGGGTCAGGTCCCTTGGCCCTGGTAGACTGAGTTCTCATGGCAGCCCATTTAAAGATGCCATGAACCTAGCCAGGCTGAGCATAGTGGGAGGGACCAGGGTGGTCTTGATCACAGTTGTGGTCAAGGCACAGTAGATATGACCTAGGGACCTGTGTGTGGCTTCTGGCTGCCCCATTCCTCTGCCAGATCCCAGGAGGTTCAGATGGTGAGCAACCCAGGTGGGCCTGGGCACCTGGGGTGATCCTAGTTTCCTTGGGGTGGAACTGGGTCCCTTGGAGTGATCTGGAATCTCATTGGGGTGGTCCTTGGTCTCTCTTCAGGTGGATCCAAATCTTTGGGTTGGTCCTGGCTCCTGAGGGTAATCTTGGGTTTCCCTGGGGTGGTCTTGGGTCTTCCTGGGAGGTGACCCTCAATACCTTGGGGGTGGTCCTGGGTCTTTGGGGCTGGTCTTAGGCTCTCTTGTGTGTGGTTTATGTCTCCTTGGGTGTGGTCCTGGGTCCCTTGGGGGTGGCCTTGGATCTCTTCTTGGTCCATACTGGGTCTCCCTCTCAGGAATGCTGACTCCCTTTGGAGTAATCCAGTCTCCAGGCTCCTTCCCTCACTGGACTCCAGGATGCTGGTCTGGGGAGGAGCGGGTCAGCTGTGCACAGCCCCTGTCCCCAACCTTCATCATTGCTGGAGGACATAGGCATCTTCCTGTTCCTGACCATCTGCCCTTTGCCTCCTGGGGCTGAGGGTGAAATTGAATCCTGGACAATGACACTTGGGCTATTTTGGAGCTGGGCTGGGCTGGCCAGGCCAGTGGTGGGGGTGGGGTGGGGCGGGCCCAGGCTTCTCCAGCTGACAGTGTTTGCCTGTCCTTTCGTCCCTGACCAGTCTGAGGAACAGCCGGTGTGTGGGCTGCCGGGTGGGAACTACATTGTCCTGGGCCCTAGGAAGGAGGCAAAACCCGGCAGCCCCTGACCTATCACCTGTGCCTCTCGCCTGGGCACTATACTGAGCCCCTGGTCAACAGGTGAGGAAGCTGAGCTTCAGTATGGGGTTGGGGGCTGTTCTGGGCTCCTGGAAGGTGGCTGGGCTGAAGGTCATGGGGGTTCTGAAGAACTGTGAGCCTTATGGGTCCAGCTGGGCTGTGCTCTTCCCTGGGAAAGGAGGGGGTCAGATTCTGGGCACTGTCTTTCCAGTGGCGCAGAGTTCAGCCTTCAGTTTGGGAAAGGATACCCTGTCCTGCTGGCTTGGGAAGACTGGGGCTGGCATCATGCACCCACCACCTCATCAGGTTGCCCCCTACTCTGAGAGCTGCCTGGGGGTCTGACCAGCCCTGCCCCCAGCTCTGAGATAGATGACCGCTGACAGCTGGGGCTATTTTGGGCCTGTTGGCTCAGCAGAGGGGACAGCCAGAGGGGCACTGACACTTGACTCCAGGAAAGAATTTTCTCTGGAGTGGGGGAAGCCTGCAGGCCCAGGGGTCTAAGGTGAAGTATAGGCTGCCCTTGGAAATCCTTTCTGGAAGGACATGGGGGCCATAGGCCTGAGTGGGTTCCAGATTCCATCTCAGGGTGGTGGGAAGGGGAGGGCCTGTGAGGTGGGGCTCTTGGGAAAGGGACTGAGGTCTGCAGTTGTATCTGTGAGTCACCTCCCACTCTGGGCTTATCCTAAAAACAGTCCGGCCCTGTGAGCTGCAGAGTGGTTCTGTTAAAGTTGGGGTGGAGGAGTTATAGGAGTGTGTGTGTGAGGAGTGAGAGGTGTGGGTGGGACATGGGCCAGCTGCAGGGGCTCCTGGGTATAACCTGTGTAGGAGAGGGTCCCAAGACTCCCCTGAGCTAGAGAAGGCCTCCAAAGGACTGACAAGGATCCATCTTCCCAGGCAGACATCCAAGGGAGGAAGGGGCTTTCTGGGGAGGTTGGGGGCTGCAGCCTCTGTTCCCCCTGCTGAGGGGTTTCCTGTTGGGCCCACAGGATGCACATCCAGCAGCCTCCAGTCCAAATGAGGAAGGGGAAGTAGGAGGCCTCTGCAGATGTCCCTGTCCTCAGATGGATTTTCTGGGAGCCTCCAAGGTGGCTTCAGTTTTCTCCTCTGTAATATGGAGTGCTCAGGAAGGGGAGTACCACCCCAGTACTGGACATGTTCTGTGAGCTCCTGTCTGGCATTAGGCCTGCTGACCAGTGATTCCTGCTCGGCAGGGTGACTGAGGGGCTCCAAGGCGGTCATTGTGAATGACCCCCTGGGACCCCTTGAACAGTAGACAGTACCTGGGTATGCTAATAGCTGGAAACACACATGGTGGGAATGGAGACCTCGAACCAACTGTGAGGCTTAGGTGGTACTGTTCCTTAATGGTCTATGAAAACTGTAGGGTCTCTGTCCACTCTTATTACTGTCAGCCTGTGCACCTGTCAAGGGTTGAGGACTGCTCCCCTTAAGGATATGGGGGCCACACTGCCTACAGACACTAGTTCTTATGTTTCAAGTAGGGCAAGCTCAGGTTCTTCATGTGGCAGGGGAAAGGGGTAGGAGGCAGAAGGATGCCCGGTTCTGCTTTTGGGAACCTCATATACTGATAGTGTAATTTTGGGGAATGCTGGGAAGACCTTGGAACTCAGGGCCCCTGTATAGCTGATGTCAAAGCTGCCCTTCCGTGGAATGGATGCTAAGAACCCAGCAGCTCAGACTTGGGCCCTGTTTTATGCTGTGGCGGTGGTCTCTAAGTTCTCCTGAGGTCCAGAAACATGGAACCTAGCTGTGGGTATATGTGGGGGTATCTGGAAGGCAGGGGTGCTGACTGCACAGTGAGTCAGCAAACCAGTGACTACAGCCCAGCCTGGTCCAGGCTCAGTCTCCTGGAAGGGGATTAGGGGATTAGGTACCTGAATCACAGGACTGCGAGCTGGAGGGCCCCCTGGACCTGGCTCATCCCATAGCGGTTAGCCCAGGCCCATAGACTGTAGGCTGTAGCTGGAGTAAGGACAGATGCAGGTGCTGTGGCAAAGGCCTCTCTATTGGAATACTCATGTCTGCACAGGGGTGGAGGGAGTTAAAGCATGTTGGATCAGCCCATGGTGTCCACTGTCCTTATGTAAGATACAATGCAGGCAGGCTGTCTTACCTCACCCCACTCTATTGGGGACTGGCTGACTGGGGCTCAGTCATAGGGACCAGTGTCACTTAGTGCCTTTGGCACTGATGGTGCCCAGGAATTCAGAGCATGGGACTCCATCCCTGCAAGGGGCACAGCTGGCAGATTCTGCTGAGGACTGTGGAGTGATCAGGCCACACAATCCCAGGCTAGCTAGGCCCAGCTGGTCTCGCCTGGAGACCCAAGCTCTTCCCAGGGTTTGGGCCTTGCTAAGTTCCAGTCTATGGGGGTCGTCTAGCTATCCTTCCCACACATATCATGGAGTGTGCACTATCCCTACCTCCTGCTCCCACTTGGATCACTTGTGGCAAGAGGGTAGGCAGGGCAGTATGAGGAAGGTAGGGGGCACGCAGGTGTTCAGAGTGAGGGTGTGGGAGTATTGGCAGCTGAGTGGACTGGGGTCCCTGTGGCTGGCGATTTCTTTTCCTTCCTGGCTAGTTAATGAAGAACATACTCTCCTTGGGACTCAAGGGGAGGTGTGGAACCTCACAGAAAAATGAGGTTTGCCCTGATCCAGGGAGGCTGCAGGTAGGACAGGTTTCTTGGTAGGGGAGGGAGAGAGGGAGAGAAGAGGAAGATAAATGATGTGGGTACATCTTGGAGGAGGCACAGGGCAGGCTGGGGTAGAGAAGTCCTGACCCATAGGCAAAAGGTTGGCAAAAGGTGTGTGTATACATTTTGGCTTCAGTGCTCAGTCTTATTTAGGCTCAGTAAGCCTCCACTTCTTTGTGTGCAGAACACTTAGCCAAAATGGAATTTCCAGAGTCCCTGGCAGCAGTGTTGTGTACCAGGAGACAGGCACCCAAAGGCAGAATGGTCTATGGTGTACTGGGTAGGTCTGTATGGGGAGGTGTGAGGAGTAGGGTGGGGGAAGAGAAGGCAAACAGGTTACTGGAGGGTACTGAGTTTGGGGCTCAAGGGACCTCCCCTTGTTTGGTGGGATTGGAGCTGTGTGAAGAAAGGTTGAAGATGCTTTCATCAGTTATTAGAGGTTACTGAGCCCCAAAGACCGGGAAAGGGGGAAGTCTGCACTGCTTTGCCATGTCACCTACTGATGCTGTAATGGGTGTGGAGGAGGAGAAGATGAGACATGCTGAGGAGGAAGTAAGTGCGGAGGTGTCCTCTCTGTGTTAACCTGGGTTCTTCTCTCAGCACTGGATAGGGAGGCAGCAGGTGAGGCGTTTTCCCAACAACACTATGACCTTCATCCTTCCCCCTCGCAGATCCCCTTCTCTGCCGTCACCATGGAGCACTCCTTCAGCGGTGCACCCCGCTTCTTGACTCGGCCTAAGGCTTTCGTGGTGTCTGTAGGCAAGGACGCCACGCTCAGCTGCCAGATAGTGGGCAACCCAACGCCACACGTAAGCTGGGAGAAAGACAGACAGCCTGTGGAGGCGGGCGCACGCTTCCGCTTGGCCCAGGACGGGGACATGTACCGTCTCTCTATCCTGGACCTGTCGCTTGGCGACAGCGGGCAGTACGTGTGTCGCGCTCGGAATGCCATCGGAGAGGCCTTCGCGGCCGTGGGCCTTCAGGTGGACGCTGAGGCCGCGTGTGCTGAGCAGGCACCCCATTTTCTGCTGCGGCCCACCTCCATCCGTGTGCGTGAGGGTGCCGACGCCACCTTCCGCTGTCGCGTGCGCGGCTCACCGCAACCGGCTGTGACCTGGTCCAAAGACGGGCGACGCCTTGGTGCACCCGATGCCCCCCGCATGCGCGTGGAAGAGCAAGGCGAGGCGAGCGCGTTGCGCATCCGGGCGGCTCGGCCGCGCGACGGTGGTACCTACGAAGTGCGAGCGGAGAACCCGCTGGGTGAGGCCAGCGCCGCCGCGGCGCTAGTGGTGGACTCAGACGCTGAGGCCCCACCTGGGGCCTCCACGGCCTCACTCCTGGCCCATCTGCAGCAGCGGCGGGAGGCCATGCGCGCTGAGGGCGTCCCGGCTTCACCACCTGGTGGTAGCACGCGCACCTGCACGGTGACTGAGGGCAAGCACGCGCGACTCAGCTGCTATGTGACTGGTGAGCCCAAGCCCGAGACGGTGTGGAAGAAGGACGGGCAGCTGGTGACCGAGGGCCGGCGACACGTGGTGTACGAGGACGAGCAAGAGAACTTCGTGCTTAAGATCCTGTTCTGCAAGCAGTCTGACCGTGGCCTGTACACCTGCACAGCGTCCAACCTGGTGGGCCAGACCTACAGCTCAGTGCTGGTTGTCGTGCGAGGTGAGCCTGAGGGTGAGGGGCGTGTGATCCATGAGCAGAGCTGCGCGGGCAAAGGCTCCTCCCTGACCCCTGCACCCACATCCTCTCGCCTGAGCAGCGGCTACAGTCTCCCACCTGCGAGTGTCCGGTCGTGGAATCCGGAGTTGGAAGTCTGGGCAGCTCTCGCCTATGTTCATGAGTTTTTATTTCTCGTAGGCAAAAAAGCACTGATAACTTTGCGCCTGTCCTATTTTAGGAACCAGTTTTCCCCACACCGCCCTGCCCACTTAATCTCTGTACCTCGACACCCCACTTATCCCCTACCCTGCGCTGCCTACTCGCTACTCTACCACTCCCCGTCCCCTCCTCCCCACTCAGTCCCCTACTATCTCTTCCCCCACGCCAGTACTCCATTCCTCTTAATCCCCTATCTGACTCTGTCCCCTCCCCACTTCCGGTTCCCTTATCTCTTTCCCATCCCCCTTCGAGCCCCAGGCGGTCTTATTCTCCAGTCCCGCCTCCCTACTGTGAGCTACTCCCTCTCTCCCCCCTCCCCCAAGCCACTCAGGTGGGGTCCCAGGCCTCTCCCTTGTCTTCTCCCACTTCCCCCTCCTCTAGCTCTCAGCCCCAACTCCACTCTCATTCCCCAGGGCATCGGACTATCCCGAAAGCTCAGCCCCCTGCCTCACCATGTCCTACCCATGACCCTGCCCCTCCCCGCCTGTACCTCCACCAGTTTCACCAACCTGTCTCTGCAGAGCCTGCGGTGCCCTTCAAGAAGCGGTTGCAGGACCTGGAGGTGAGAGAGAAGGAGTCGGCCACGTTCCAGTGCGAGGTAGCATTGCCGGCCACCGAAGCCGCGTGGTTCAAGGAGGAGACGCGGCTGTGGGCCAGTGCTAAGTATGGCATCGAGGAGGAGGGCACTGAGCGCCGGCTGACCGTGCGCGACGTCTCGGCAGACGACGACGCGGTGTACATCTGCGAGACCGCGGAGGGCAGCCGCACGGTGGCGGAGCTCGCCGTTAAAGGCAGGCGGGGCAGGGGCGGGGAGGGTAGGTGGGCCTAGGAGAGGGTAAGGCAGGCAGAGTACCAAAGGGACATGGATGGGCCCGGCAGAGGGTGGGGGCAGGCGGGGTGTGGGTAGGAGTGCGCCAGGGCAGGCAGAGGTCATGTGGAGTCGGGAGGGGGTGAGCAAGTGCGAGCAATATGAAGGTGGGTGGGAATGGGAAAGAGGTATAAGTAGTGAGACTGGACTCAGGTGAACAGGGTGAGGAAGGGGGTGAAGTAGGGGGCAAGGACCTGGATGGGCAGGCTGGGGACAAATAGGGGTTGTGGAGAGGGAGAGTTAGCCGGGTTGAGGGGAGGCAGGCAGGGCAGGCAGGGGATGTGAAGAAGATGGGTAGGGGTAGAAGGGCTGAAGGATAGGGCGGAATGGGCAGGAGGATAAGACTGAGGCCACAAAAAAAGGGGTGGGTGGGGGAGTGAAAATCTGACCCCAACCTGATGGTCTCCTACTCCAGGAAACTTGACCAGAAAGCTGCCTCGGAAAACTGCTGTGCGTGTTGGGGACACAGCCATCTTTTGGGTGGAGCTGGCTGTCCCAGAGTGCTCTGTCTGCTGGCTGCGAAACCAGGAGGAGGTGGTGGCTG